CACTTTGCTCCCAGACAGCTGTACAAAGGTCATGGGCACTGCCGAGAGTCATTGTGAAATCCTGATGAATGTCTGGCACATGGACGTCTCAGAAGAATAAGACCTGAAATATCAGCTAAAGGTTGAAGCATCTAAACAAAGTTTTTTATACACCTTATGAAATCTTATGACCTTATGAATCTGCAGAGACAGTGCTATTGTAACCTTGTCGTGTATAGGGTGTCAATTATACTTGTTATACTTGTAGCAACCCTCTACATTGCGAGTAAATCACTCACATATGCGACTAAATCTTCACTCTTGGCGACTAAATGATGTATCAGCCAATGGCTAATAAATTCTCAGATTTTACTCGCCTGTGTGTGAGTTAGGCTAAGTATAAGTTTAGCACAGATATATTTTCACTCGCCAAACACTCTGACTGAGCGCTTCAGAGTTTCACTCTCCAAGCGATCTGTGCTTTTTTTCAGTTCATCTCAATGGATGCGCAGCGCACCTGTATTTGACGTACCGTAAACTCTAGTGTGAAGCGCACGACTCGCCGTTACTTTGTCTCACACACACGCAGAGAGAGAGAGTGAGAGAATTGACGCGTTACATGTAAACGATAATCTTTATTGTATTTTCCTGTCAAAATAATGGCGTTCCTTTGGAATTCTTCAGCTTTTAAGAACTGCCGGGTTTTCCTGTAGTGGGCGGAACTAATGTGCAAACGGCAATCTCATTGGCTGGCGCTCATCTATCATCATCCCTGTTTTGATCTCAGCAAATCAGTTGGAGCGAACGCACACAACCTGATTAATATTCATCAATCCAGCAGCTCGTTTATCCTTAGTGCATTTTATATTGTTCTTATTAGTATAGTAGAATTCGTATCATTATTATCTTATCAGTATTTTTGTTAATTTTTTCCCAATTTTTTTTACAGAAACACTGAATGACCAAAAAAGCCAACCTGGTCTCATGGCAAAAACGTACCCGGGGGCACATTTTCGCGAGACGCGAAATACGTACCAATAAGTACATATCACTGCAGTTTCCAAAAGAAATGAACACTAGAGGCAGTAAAACTCCAACACCTTTTATTCCTTTTCACATGCATTTACAGAGTTTCGATTAATAAAGCGTAATTTTCGCACAATTACTTGAAGAATATCATGTTATGACTTCAAAACAATTTTAATATGCTGGGAGATTTGAAAAGTGATGCTTTTGAACGTTAGCACCGCACATATCCAGCTTCATATCAATGGGTTTTCATCTACAGTAGGTTTGTTCGGTAGCTCACGGAGTACAGAGACGTACTTGAGAGGCGAGGAGCTCCGGTTCAAATCCCGTGTAGGGTGACTACAGTTTGACAAAACGGTTCAAATCTGCATATAAGTAAGTTCAAATGACACGGTTGCATCAACAAATGCGTTTTTATATCAGTTTTGGATTTGTTAACACTATCGGGTAGGTTTAGGGTTGGGTTTGGTGTAGGGCATATTTCCAACACGATAGAGCATTAACTTTTAGCGACAGTCCCCGGATATTTGAATTCTGAACCACAGCAATACGTACCTATATCAACGTAATAAAAACGTGCCAGGGTTCACGTATTGAACCCGTGTTTTAGCGCCACTCAGTGGACATTTCTCTTTGAAACTGCGGCGAAACGTGCAGTAAGGTACGTAAAAACGGTGTTGCAGAAAAGCACCCAGAGGTACGTATTTTTATGAGACTGGGTTGAAAAAAGCACCACCACCAGTCCAGTTCAAATGTTCAGTTAAAATGACTAATATGCATTCAAACATGGTTATCAAGTTTTAATTCTAATTACTAAAGTTCTATCATTAAATAATACTTGATTATTATAATGCTTGACTGACTGATGTTACTGATGTTACTGAAGTGTACTTTCAGATATTTAAAAACAAATTTGCCATTTTACAAACATTTACAAACATTTACAAACATACTGTATACTGAACAAAATTATAAACGCAACACTTTTGTTTTTGCCCCCATTTTTCATGAGCTGAACTCTTCTTCTATGTACTACTTCTATGTACACAAAAGGCCTATTTCTCTCAAATATTGTTCACAAATCTGTCTAAATCTGTGTTAGTGAGCACTTCTCCTTTGCCGAGATAATCCATCCACCTCACAGGTGTGGCATATCAAGATGCTGATTAGACAGCATGATTATTGCACAGGTGTGCCTTAGGCTGGCCACAATAAAAGGCCACTCTAAAATGTGCAGTTTTACTGTATTGGGGGGTCCGAAAACCAGTCAGTATCTGGTGTGACCACCATTTGCCTCACGCAGTGCAACACATCTCCTTCGCATAGAGTTGATCAGGTTGTTGATTGTGGCCTGTGGAATGTTGGTCCACTCCTCTTCAATGGCTGTGCGAAGTTGCTGGATATTGGCAGGAACTGGAACACGCTGTCGTATACGCCGATCCAGAGCATCCCAAACATGCTCAATGGGTGACATGTCCGGTGAGTATGCTGGCCATGCAAGAACTGGGATTAAAGTACACTTAACCGTGGCTTGTGTACTGCACACATACCAGCTTCATCACTGACATGACATGTCTGTCACGCGACTCTGTTCCCCTTTCGGGCTCTGTCTTTACATTTATTTTGAAAGATGAAGCTTGCGATTATGGTAAGGGGCGTTACATTTCCGACAAGTGCTTGCAGTGTTCGGCCAATCACAATGCACTGGGTCAGCTGGCCAATCAGAGCAGACTGCGCTTGTCGGAAGGAGGGACTTTGTAGAAAACGAAGCTTGAGAGAGGCGGGGCATAGAGGACCTACAATAATGTACAGTATTTGAAAAATAATGTGTTTTTTGAACATTAAAGCATGTCAACATATTCTGTTACACCAAATACACAAAATAATGATCTTTAAAAAAGCATCATATGACCCCTTTAAATGTAATGGATCAGGTGGGTCATTTAAGGATAGGCCGACGTGCGGACCACAGTATGACCATGTTTCCGCCCTACCAAAGGCATCTTGGCCATCTGTCACAGAAATTCCCCCTTCTGCCCAGAGTCTGGGACACACACACATGCAACCATGCAGCTTGGAAGAATACAGACATTGCAGACTGTTTGTTTATAACATACTACAGTGTTTAAGTGCTGAAATTGATTATTATGCCTGGTTAAAAAACAATAAATCGTGGATTTGGTCAATTTTAAGGAAAAGAAACAGCGAGATAGAGAATTATATATTACAAAAGAAGCTAATAATAAGGTGCAAAACTGTAACTGGGTCATTATGCATTAAAAAGGTACTAATATTTACACTTTAATATGTACTTTTAAAGTACTAATATGTACCTTTAAGGTAATGATATGTACTTTTTAGGGGTAAAGATGTACCTTAGGGTACTGCCCCAGTGACAGCCCTGTACCTGTACCTGTACCTTCGCATTTAGCAAGTTTATGAGGTGTATGCGACTACATTTCCCATCATTCTTAGTATTAGAAGGATAAAATGTGTATGACTTGAATTACAGATAATGATTGAATGGTTTTGTCTTTATTGTTGTATATTATGGTATAGTACTTTAGTTTTTAGCTTGACAGCCATTTAGTAAAATACAAGACCTAAAAGAACTATATTAATGCACTATTTTGACTGCTAAACTCCATTGTCCAGTGCAGTGACATGGTAGTTTCCTGTAACTTGTAGCACTCTGTTGTCTCTTTCTTCTCATTTACTAAAATAATTTCAGCTCAAAGCAACATTATATGTTCATTTATTTATTTGGTAAGCAAGCAGCCATATAGTAAGCAGGATATGGTGGAATCGTTAGCTAAAAATTAACCACTTCAGGGTGACAAATCCCCTTCACCTCATGCCGGGGTCTTGATCACCCTGTCTGGGTTTATTTTGCAATAATACATTAGCTGTAGCCTATATTGAAATAACCTGCCAGAGATAAACAGTTACAGTTACCTTGTCAGAATATCTGACCAAATCATTGATAAAGCTTTTTGTGTTGCACATCTCGATAAAAGCAACTGATTGAAGCTGTGTTCATGTTAATTTAATCTTAGATGAATTTGATTTGATCTGCATCTTGATGAATGTTGAAACAAGGTAACGGATTGCAACACTATCAGTATTGGCAAAAAGGTGCAACCTTTGCCCTGTGTGTGTCCTTGTACTACGTTAGATAGATTATATGTGTTTGTGCCGGTACAAACTACCATTACCAGGTACTCGTATGTAGCACTCTATTAGCTGTGGACTGAATGGTTAAAGCAGCAGGGCTTAATGGATTCTCTTAGTGAAGTGTCCTCTTACATTTATGTACTTAAACAGCATATTATTTCATTTAAGGCCTTAATAATGGAGGTAATTGATGTTCTGCAAAGTCACATGTTTCCACAAGTACTTAATGTTCCTGTGGGCACGTACTTACCCTGTTCTCTGATGTCTGTACATGCTAATTAAAACATAGTATGTGTCATGATATATTTATAGTTTGTTACACTGACCTGTATGATTGTTTGGGTTATACATTACAAGTCAAAGATTTGTAATAATTAAGATTTACAATGTTTTTTTAAAAACAAAGTCTCTTATGCTCACCAAGGCTGCATATATTTGATTAAAAAAATACAGTAAAAACAATAATATTATGAAATATTATTACAGTTTAAGAAAACTGTTTTCTAATTTAATATATTTCTAAATGGAATTTATTCCTGTGATGCAAAGCTACATTTTCATTAGACATTATTCCAGTATTCAGTGTCACATAATAAAATTGTCAAATTAAATGTCATAATATTACTGTATTTTTGATCCATAAATGCAACCTTGATGAGCATAAGAGACTTTATTCAAAAACATTAAATATCTTGATTACATTTTTTTTTTTGACCAGAAGTGTGTCTATGATCGATGTCATCAGCAATCGTTTTAGTGCTAAATTTTAATTGCTCCTGTCATGTCTAATATTAATCTCTCTTTTTGTCTCTTCACAGACACTAGTGCTCTTAATTCACCCCCCTCTCAGCCGCCACCCTTGAGTTCCATGGTGGGTCATCCATCCGTCATCAGTTCGTCCCGCCCTCTGCAGTCGCCCGTGAACACCCTGGGCTCATCCATGAATGGCCTGGCCTCACCCTACTCAGTCATCGGCCCATCTCTGGGTTCACCGTCCGTTTCCTTGCCCTCTACTCCCAGTATGGGCTTTAACACCCTCAGCAGCCCACAGGTAAAACGCTTCCCATAATTCTGTACTCTCTCAGACTGACACCAACCGAAAACAATAAGATCTGTCCTGCAAATTGAAATGTCACTCTCTCTCATAAATTAAAATGTGCCTCTTGGCAGTAATAGCCATGCACCATTTAGAGACAAGTGAGGTACAAAGATGTACCTTTTAACTTTTGTACTTTAAGGTGCCGAACCAGTGACAGCTTTGTACCTTTATTTTCTGAGTGTATGGATGCCCTGGTGTTAAAAGAGGTCAGCTTATGTGTGTCTGTATGTGTGTCTCATTTCTCCCTGGAGGCCAGAGAAAGCCATTGACTCAGGCTTTTAGTCCAATGAAAGGACATCAATAACTATGAACTTACAGTATATGGGGCAAGTAAGTGAGTGTGTGTTATGAATCATGATAGACATACAAGGTCTAAATGTACTTGAAATTATATTGAAATTAAAAGAAAATGTGTAAAAATCTTGTAATGCTGGTAGCATGTGGCATTAATTGTGCATGGTGATTCTTATTCTGAAATCCTGTACATGGGTGTTTCTTTTTTGTCCCAGGTGGATTTCAATCTTACCAAAATAAAGGCAAAATTCCCTCAAAATAAAATGAAATAACATGTATTAGACTTTCTAAAACACTCGGTGATCAAAGAGTGAAATAATCATATTTATTGTGTGAAAATGGGTTTTTACTTGTTACAACAGAAGGTAAAGAAAAACCAAATAATATCAGACAATTTTGTTGTATTATTTCCTACCAAGCTGTAATTTTGTCAAGTTATAAAAAAGTGAAAGTTTCATTTTGAAAAGTGTTTAGAGTTCATAAGCTAACTTTGAAATTTGCCATAGCGAAACAAAGTTCAATATTTAAAATTTAATTTCCATCACTATAATTTCTGTAAAAGAATGTTGTCAAAACCATTGTTATTTTAATATAATTTATATGCTTGTTTACTATTACAGTATTATATACGATAATATTTAGATTTAGCTTTTTTCAGTTTATTTTAAAGTATATTTTGATGTGATTTTGTCATTTGGTTTTATTTGAGTAATTTTAGTACTTTAAACTTGTTTCAGTTAGTTGCCAAATCAACATTTCTTATTTTCATTTAGGTTTGAAGTTTTTCATGTAATATTTGTACTATCAGCACTATTTTTATTAACTTTTTTTTTATTTTAACTAAGTTTTAACTTTTTAAATTTTTTAATTGTTAACTTTTTTAAAGTTTTAATTTTTAAGTTTTAACAACACTGTATCAAACATTTGAGATATGGCGGAAATTACAGTGTGAAAAGTGAGTGTATTTTTTTTACACTCCACAAAAGAAGCAGCCATAAACAAAGGCCATATACAAACACAGAAATCAACAAACATGTATGCCAGTAATTCACTGAAAATAAGGCTCACTGAATCATATTCCTGATTCCACTTGCTTTCTTTATGCCTGAGGTATGGCCATGTACTGCCACCTACAGGATGAATGCTGCAGTGCAGAAACCAACATGTGATGGAAAAATGGTGAATTCTCCTGAGAGTGAGGGAGACACAAATCTCCCCTCCCCTTTGAAATGTTATGTCAGCGCTCTCACAGCTACTTGTGTAATGGCCTTGCAAGGTTGGAGTCTGTGAGTTGTGCGTTTGTGAGTGTTTTCTTGGGTTTGTTTGTGTGTGTGTGTGTGTGTGTGTGTCTGCTGTGCTGAAAGGACACAAACAGTCTGCTGCTGTATAATGACATAAAGTCTACTCCTGATTACACTATATAAGCTGTTTCCGTCTCTCCTCACTTCTCTTCCTGTCTCACAGATGAACTGTGTAAATGTGAATAGCTCAGAAGACATCAAGCCTCCACCAGGATTGGCTCCGCTGAGCAACATGAGCAGTTATCAGTGCAGCAGCCCTGGATCCCTCTCCAAACACATCTGTGCCATTTGTGGGGACCGATCTTCAGGTACAACAACACAGGGATTGTTTAGGTGTTGCATTTGGTTTGGTTTGGAAGATAGTGCAAGATACATCTTTATCTCTTCTGAGGTTCAGTATGGTTGTGTTTGCAGGGAAGCACTATGGTGTTTACAGTTGTGAAGGTTGCAAAGGCTTCTTTAAGAGGACCATCCGAAAAGACCTGACCTACACGTGTCGAGACAGCAAAGAGTGCCTGATCGACAAACGCCAGCGCAACCGCTGCCAATATTGCCGCTACCAGAAGTGCCTGGCCATGGGCATGAAGCGGGAAGGTTTGTATTTGTGGATTTTCTATCCATAAATCAATGATTTTTGAATTGCCTTTAAATTCCTGATGGGTTTTGTTTTTTGCTTTGCTTTGCTTTGCTTTGCTTTGCTTTGTTTTGTTTTGTCTTGTTTTATTTTGCTTTGCTTTGCTTTGTTTTGTTTTATTTTGCTTTGCTTTGCTTTGCTTTGCTTTGCTTTGCTTTGCTTTGCTTTGTTTTGTTTTGTTTTATTTTATTTTGCTTTGCTTTGTTTTGCTTTGTTTTATTTTGCTTTGCTTTGCTTTGCTTTGGTGTTTTGTTTCGGTTTGGATTTTTGTTTAGTTTTGTTTCAGTTTGGTGTTTTGTGTTTTGTTTTGTGCTTTTTGCAGCCTTTGTGGCCAGAAGATATTTTATTTTCAACACATTAATATTATGCTTTAATATTATGCTAAATAACATAACTATTAGTATATTATATTTCTCTATAATCTTACATTATATTTAATACATTTTGTACATTTGTTCTCTTATAATATCTCAAATAAAATATAAAATAAGTACAATATCTAATATAACAGATAAAAGTTATACAAATGTGAGATTTCTTAAATCATTTTTAAATGTCATAATCATTAATTACAATGATTTATAATGTTCTCATTTTCTTGCTCGGCTGGACCCCACAGCAGTCCAGGAAGAGAGGCAGCGTGGGAAGGAGAAAGGTGATAATGAGGTGGAATCAACAAGCAGTTTTAATGAAGACATGCCTGTGGATAGGATTCTGGATGCAGAAGTTGCAGTAGAACCTAAGACTGAGACGTACACAGAGAACAGTCCAGGCAACTCAGTAAGACAAAAGACATTTATATTTATTCATATACAATTTGCACAATTACATACATGCTGACTTTAGCATTCTTTGAGAAAGTAACAACTCAAATACTCTCTCTCGTTCTTTCTCTGTCCTTTTTTTCATCTGGTCTCTCAGACAAATGACCCAGTCACTAATATCTGCCATGCAGCTGACAAACAACTGTTTACTCTGGTGGAGTGGGCCAAGAGAATACCTAATTTCTCTGATCTGCCTCTGGATGATCAGGTCATTTTGCTTCGAGCAGGTATGTGACACTCTTACACATGTATGAAACACATAGATATAGATACGTTGCTATTAACAAACAAGCACTCTACGACAACACTTTCAGGTTCTTCTGTCACCCCTATAAGAGCTGTTTTAGATGAGCACTTCATTTAAATTGTGTCATTTGGATCAGGAAAAACTTGAGAATTGACACAAAATATGATACATTTTAAAGAGCTTGTCTGATTTTATCCATTTGAATGGCTGACTTTGTTTTACAAAGCACAACTATATGACAAATATAAAACCTATGATCAAACAGGAACCAGTTTCATCAGCATCATTGTCCGAATGTCTGTACTAGGTCCTTGTGAAATGATATGCAGATAAAAATTATGCAATACTGATCAAATACATATTTTGCGTTTATTTTGAAATCATAACTGAAGTAGTAACAGAGAGGATATTATGGCTGAAATGTGTATTTAAGCAGTGAAAATGCATATTGCACACATACAGATTTTTGTATGTTGCTGCTGCTGTTGCCATTTATCATGCCACATTTCTTCACAAGTGTTTCTTGTAAAGTGGCATCACAATAATATCATCTTTATGAACATACATAAAACTACCACCAATGTTGTGGTAGTATTATTTATGTATTGTATTTATTAGTATTTTTAAATGAGCATTTTCATTTTAGTTTGAGTTTTAGTACTTAATTTGCTTCTGTCATTTTTTATTTTGAACATTTTTTTATTATTTTTTATTTCTGTTTTAGTAATTTTAATACTTCAACCTAAAAACTTCTTTATTTCAGTTAGCTGCCAAGGCAGAAATTATTATTTAAAAAGTATTTTAAGGTTACGTTTTTCATCTAATATCGACGTTTTATTTCATTTCAGCTTTATTTCAATTTAATTTCGAAAATGTTTTAGTAGTTTTGTCTATAATAACTCAGGTCAAAGGGTCAGACAGAACTGTGTTGGTTGTGTAAGTGGGAATGCTGCCCTCTGTTGGTCAAACACTTCACATGCATTCATGAAGTAGCCATCACAGTACATCACAAAGCCTTGCTAATGAAGAAAACTGTTGAATTAAGAGAGGGAGAGATACAAATGCTTTTTTCCACTGCTATTCATGTCATTTATTTTCTTCATGTCATTTTTCTTCTTACAGGATGGAACGAGCTCCTCATTGCTTCATTCTCTCATCGCTCAATCACAGTTAAAGATGGCATCTTGCTGGGCACAGGCCTCCATGTCCACAGGAGCAGTGCTCACAGTGCAGGTGTCGGCTCCATTTTTAACAGGTGACTATTTCCACCTTCAACACCTCTGGATTAATAAACATATTTGTTTGTTTAGAGAATGATCATACTGTGGGTACGGAAAGTATTCAGACCCTCTTATTCACTCTGTTATATTGCAGCCATTTGCTAAAATCATTTAAGTGAATTTTTGTTCCTCAATGTACACACAGCACCCCATATTGACAGAAAAACACAGAATTGTTGACAGTTTTGCAGATTTATTAAAAAAGAAAAACTGAAATTTCACATGGTCCTAAGTATTCAGCCCCTTTGCTCAGTATTTAGTAGAAGCACCCTTTTGATCTAATACAGCCATGAGTCTTTTTGGGAAAGATGCAACAAGTTTTTCACACCTGGATTTGGGGATCCTCTGCCATCCCTCCTTGCAGATCCTCTCCAGTTCTGTCAGGTTGGATGGTAATCGTTGGTGGACAGCCATTTTTAGGTCTCTCCAGAGATGCTCAATTGGGTTTAAGGCAGGGCTCTGGCTGGGCCATTCAAGAACAGTCACAGAGTTGTTGTGAAGTCACTCCTTCGTTATTTTAGCTGTGTGCTTAGGGTCATTGTCTTGTTGGAAGGTAAACCTTTGGCCCAGTCTGAGGTCCTGAGCACTCTGGAGAAGGATTTCGTCCAGGATATCCCTGTACGTGGCCGCATTCATCTTTCCCTCGATTGCAACCAATCGAGGGAAAGATGAATGGGGCCAAGTACAGGGATATCCTGGACGAAATCCTTCTCCAGAGTGCTCAGGACCTCAGACTGGGCCAAAGGTTTACCTTCCAACAAGACAATGACCCTAAGCACACAGCTAAAATAACGAAGGAGTGACTTCACAACAACTCTGTGACTGTTCTTGAATGGCCCAGCCAGAGCCCTGCCTTAAACCCAATTGAGCATCTCTGGAGAGACCTAAAAATGGCTGTCCACCAACGATTACCATCCAACCTGACAGAACTGGAGAGGATCTGCAAGGCGGAATGGCAGAGGATCCCCAAATCCAGGTATGAAAAACTTGTTGCATCTTTCCCAAAAAGACTCATGGCTGTATTAGATCAAAAGGGTGCTTCTACTAAATACTGAGCAAAGGGGCTGAATACTTAGGACCATGTAATATTTCAGTTTTTCTTTTTTAATAAATCTGCAAAACTGTCAACAATTCTGTGTTTTTCTGTCAATATGGGGTGCTGTGTGTACATTGAGGAACAAAAATTCACTTAAATGATTTTAGCAAATGGCTGCAATATAACAGAGTGAATAAGAGGGTCTGAATACTTAGGACCATGTAATATTTCAGTTTTTCTTTTTTAATAAATCTGCAAAACTGTCAACAATTCTGTGTTTTTCTGTCAATATGGGGTGCTGTGTGTACATTGAGGAACAAAAATTCACTTAAATGATTTTAGCAAATGGCTGCAATATAACAAAGAGTGGAAAAATTTAAGGGGGTCTGAATACTTTCCGTACCCACTGTAAATATGTATCTTTATTTTTATTACAACTATTGTATTCAAAGGACAGCTTTGTGTATTTGTGTGGCAGGGTATTGACTGAGCTGGTGTCTAAAATGAAGGATATGCAGATGGATAAGACAGAACTAGGCTGCCTTAGAGCCATCGTTCTCTTCAACCCTGGTGTGTCGCTCATTGCCATTTATATACACTTGTCTGCAGCATTGTTTATTTACATTACATTCCAAATCCCCCCCCCCTTTTTGGAACACCTTGGGAATTGACAGATTATAATGATAAACTCTAATTGTGAAGGCCTTGACTGATTTTTTATCTTAAGCACATATTATATTATATTATATTACTCAAGTTAAAGAGATAGTTTACCCCAATATAAAAAAATATAATATAATATAATGTAATGTTTTATATTATAATAATAGATAAAGAGATACTACATGTTTTACCCAAAAAATAACATTTTTTTTTAATTTTCTTTCTGTCGTGAAACAAAAAAATGCTGTAATTTTCTTTTAAATGCATTTATGCACTGCAAAATGTAATTACAGTGAATGGGAACTATAATAGATTAGATGTAAAGACATGTGTAAGATGTTTTGATAGACTGAGTATATAGTTAATCATGCAGATTGTCTCTTCTCGTAGATGCCAAAGGCTTGTCCAACCCAGCGGAGGTAGAGGCACTGAGGGAGAAAGTTTACGCCTCACTGGAGACCTACACTAAACAGAAGTACCCTGACCAGCCTGGCAGGTAAAGTCATGTACATGTTTGTTCAGTAAATACTGATCATGTCTCTTGCACATACTCAATTCCACCTGCTGTCTCCCTCCCTGCCTGCTTTACAGGTTTGCTAAACTTTTGTTGCGTCTTCCTGCCCTCCGATCCATCGGACTCAAGTGTTTGGAGCACCTATTTTTCTTTAAGCTGATTGGAGACACACCCATAGACACTTTCCTAATGGAGATGCTGGAAGCACCCCATCAGATCACGTGACACAAGTTCCAACGGACCATTTTTTGTACATATTCTTATGTAACTAATATAATAACGAACTTGATTGAAGATATTGCAGTAAGCTGCATATTTTATACCAAGCACAAATTATTATTCTTTAAAAAAAATATTGTCAGGGGAATGAGAGGAGCAAGTCTCAAAATATACAGATGAAATTCATTTTAATGGTATGGTTTTGAGAGAATTTTTTTTCTGTAAATAGCTAATATCAGGTATTCATTGTGGCAAGACAATGCAATAAAGAAATTATATTTTATTCAAGGAATGTTTATCAACCCAAACAATAATTTCTAAAATGAAGTTTAGAATTATGGTCAAATAAATATTTAAATACTATGTCCTTTTTTTTGGGAATAAAAAATAATGAAGGAGCATGTTGTTATTTTCTGTCCTTATTTTACTGGAGTATCTAACTTTTTTCCCTGTAAAACCAAAAGCCTTTAAAGAGCAGGCCATTGTTTGAGATGTGGTGTTGTCCAATTTTAACTATCTCAATCTCAAATAAATGACATTTTAGCAAAACACAGCATCATTTAGCTTATATGGTGCAGTGTGTCCTGTCCGCTAGATGGCGACATTTTACGATTCAAACCATAATTGAACTTTAACGTGTGGCTGTGGTGGCTTTCTCATTTTCAGTGTGGAAAGGCTGTGATTGCTCTGAAGCTAAAACAAGTTTGAACTGTCATGTGGGAAAGTAGAGTATAAGATTTCTTGCCCAAACTTTTGATATCTTAAAATATTGGTATAAATGTATTTCTAAAATATATTTAAAAAAATAAGCTTCATTCTCATTAGCTCATTTTAAATCATATAATCTTTATGTAATCTGTGTTTGTAATACGTATGTTTAAGAACAGAACATATTTTATGTTTTTTGAAAACAATATAAATCTCTAATCAATTACAAGTGATTTGTTTTTCTTTCATGTAATTCATTTGTCAAAATTCAAATAAACTAATTTTAGGTAGCCTATATGGTCGGTTCTGGTCATGGCACTATAATATGAACTCCAAACAAATGTTTAGGATTTACTTCACTGGTTGTCTGTTTGGGTTGTATCACAGAGAACCCAATGATGTGCATATAAAAATCATATTCGTTTAGAAATTACCCTCTTTTTCAGATTATTTTAATATGTTTTTTTGACATAGCAAAAACAGTAGCCAGAAAGTTATTGTTTAAGCTTAACCCCCATATTTTGTCATATACTACATTTCAGAACAGCTACTGTTATCCAGTATGCAGAAGAAATTGTGAACAATGCAATACATCTACATATACAGTTAGCAGCATTGCACCTCATTGTGAATCTATGTTAAATGTATTTAATTAGGTTTTTTTTAATGCACATTTCTATGGACCCCAAGCAGAATTAATGTAACATTTTTCAGGGCGAGTTTGAACCGTCAAGTTTATCTATAATATATTGTATAATAACAATAATAATTGTAATCAATGTTTAATCAGTCAGTTTTTTTTTAGCAACTGAAATTGCCTTGGGGTCTCTTAAAGCCAAACAGGGCATTATTGTTCAAAATTCATGTTTTATTTATTTATTTATTTTTGAGTTCATCACAAGTTGTAAAGAAATGGCTGTATACTTACTCTCTAGTCTACCTGATGGAATAGATTTGTGTGTGTGTGTGTGTGAGAGAGAGAGAGAGAGAGAGAGAGTAAATGACGCACGGGTTTATTTTCATATGGAGCTTTTGTGTGCGTTTACAACTATCCAAGCATCTGTCGAAAGTTACACGGGGCGGCAAAAGGATATTTTCTCTTCAGTGGTAGGTGGATGTATGTCTAATTCTATAGCATTTTTTTTAGTTTTGGTAAAGTTTTGTCATGTACAGTATAGCCTAGAAGCCTAAAGTTACTGGTCTTGATAAAACATGCTGACATGTGACAGTAATTAATGTTATGCGCATTAACTGTGTTATTTGGATGTCGCAAGTCGTTTTATGATTGACTGAATAATCTTAGTAGAGATTAGAAGTAAATATTTGAATGAAACTCACAATCAAATCTCATTTGTTCACACTGTAGCCTATTTCTGCTGGTCTTTATCGTTTTTGTTATTTTGTAATGCTCGTGGTTGAATTTAGTTTTTTTTATTTTGTTTTTCAGTATTTATTTTTCCAATTTTAAATGACATTAAACTTTCTTTTATTGTAGGCTACTTTCACATTTTCTTGTTATAGCTACAATTTTAAAAGGATGGCTGCTAAAACGATATACAGTTCTGTAAAGTACACATAAGACTTTTTGTTTTTGTTTAAAAACAATCGCATGAAATTACACCCTGAGGTTATGGATTATAAATGTCTTTTTTCCAGACATGTGGAGAAAGAGCGTGTGTGAAGGCTGTAATGAGCTCATCCGGGACAGGTACCTGCTCCGCGTGCAGGACGGACTGTGGCACGAGCGCTGCCTGCACTGCGCGTCATGTCGCGAGCCTCTGAAAGACACCTGCTTCCTCCGCAACAAGACACTCTACTGCAAGCGAGACTACCAGAAGTAAGACTCTACTTACTACTCTTTGTGTAAACAATGATTTCGTTTTATTCTAATTGAATTACCATTTGAAGTTCAACGCGGGAAAATGTGACGTGAGTCCAAGGTAGTCGGAAGTTTCTTAGTCAGATGAAACTAAACTTGGCTAGGTCTTCATATTAACTTGATTTTAGCAGAAAGGTCTTTACTGTTGCTTTTTTATTTTGTTGTTTTGCAAATGTCAAATATTTGTTCCTGTCTTCGCTATTTTGTTTTAAACTGAATATTTAAGAAAACAAAAATTGGACGAGAGTATCGCGAGAAATATGTTCGCCTTTCTCTGTGTATAGAAAATTACAAATTGCCTGCTTGAATTTTCTAGAAATGCATTTGAGAGTGCGGTGGATTATTTTTCCCCTTTGTAAACATTTAGAGCTCACAATAAATAACCATCAGTTCTATTTCTCAGCGAAATTGAAAATAAGGAAATTAATTTGATTATACTTCATTTAAGCATTGCAACAATCACTTACATTATTCTCCAAAGAACATTTTAATGATTAATGCACAGAAATAATCTATATGCAAATATCTCAGTGGATACTTTAAAGATAAAGCCAGTAAAATGTTATTGTTAAGGTTTCAGTTCACATATCTAACCACATATCTAACTAGTTTATCTTTTAAATTCCTATTTACAGGCAGTGTTGTTTATTTGACTCTAATGTTTGGATGTCGCAGGCTGATTTATTTACTTTCTGTTAAATTAATTTTGCAAGGCAACTTTTGTGGCTAAATATAATTTTGATTTTACTATTTTTTCCTTGCAAATATTTTAGTCCTGAAATGTCACATCTGCATGCAGTATAAAATTACACATGCACTATTCTGTTAGCACATAACTGTATACCTGTTTACACAAACAATATTTTTCTAGTGTATCATTTTATGAGTGTTGGTGTTTTGTGAGGGAGAGAGAGACTGTGTGTATTGGGGAACTTGGCACAGAACTCCTGAAAGACAAGGTGACTGCAGGAGAAAGGGTCGCGGTGGGCCATGGAATGCGAGGAGGCTTTCACACACAAACACACACCATTAGATCACGAGGACAGCACTACTGACACGCTGTCAAGATGTGTTAAATTAGCAGGACCCATCGGTGTGGCAACGGCAAGCTGGGGACAGCATATGGCCACACCGACACGGTGCACGGACCCCCTACTACCCCCAAAACTCACTCTGATTTTCATTCACACACTCATATGCACATTCTCACCTCCGTATAAAAAAAAAAGTGTGTGAAGCGACACAGCGCAATGACCTGGACAATACAAACGAGTGCAGTTATGGACACTATTTGAGTTCTGATCACCATCTAAAATTCTCAAGTTTAATGTCAATGGCTGATGCATCTGTTAAAAAGTTTACATTTTCAACAAAAAAGCTCTGATTTCGCCAAATCCCATAATGCATACTCAGATTAGGAGTCTATCAGCCGAAGTAATAATAATGGAGAAGTGACCACTGTGCTCTTAATAAAAAAGCTGAGGCTGTGTGGAGGATTGGGCCATATGTTCTGGGTAGAATATGAGTGTGTTTGTGTGTGTGTGTTGGGGAGGGGGTATATGTAGAGGGGATCTCTGCGTGTGAAGTATGTCAAGGCATCTGGATAGGTTGGTGCCCAGTGGTGCCCCTGCTTGATGCCCATCCGACTGTGAGATATCTGACCTGACCAATTAGCCACATACGCAGTGCTTGGCTGGCACTCCTACCCAGTAGCCCAGTGCTTAACTGTGGGCTCAGGGGTGGAGAGCACGCTGACCCAGCACTTACTGACCAGGTTAAGGAGCAGTTCTACTCTAAATGGGTCAGCAGGCAGGTACTTCACTGTTTTATAATGGTGATCAATTTAATTTGGATTTCAAGTGATGCTTAGACTTATAGGACTAGTAACTTAAGTAGTAATAGTAGTAATCTCCAGACTTCTTACTGTTTGTTTTATGATGAGAAGAGTGCATTTCTTTAGTGATTCCCAATTGCTTTATTTCTCTTAAATCTTATGTAAGTTTACTTTGTTAAACATTTATACTATTGTTCAAAAGTTTGTGGTCGGTAAGATTTTTTTCTCAAAAGGGCTGCATTTATTTGTATAAAAAAAAAAGAGAGTAATATTGGGAAGTATTAATACAATATGTATATATTTTTTATTTTAACATATATTAATATATGTAATTTATTCCTGTGATACCAAAGCTGATTGGGTAAGCTAAATGGAAAGCAGCCACTAGGAGCATAAAATATAACTTACTTTAACTGTTATTATTATATTAGGACTATCAAATATTAAAATAATTAATCCAGTGATTTTTTTTATAGTTAATGTCACATTTTTAAAGATAATTAAATTCTAGCATTAAAAAATGCACTTCTGTCAAACATACCATTTGGTGTCGTTTTATAAGTTCATTATAGAGAAAAGTTTTGCCTTCAAAATGAAATGCAAGCTCAGGTGTCTTGTTAAAGATAGAAAACACCTGTCAAGTGTGTTTTTCACCAGAAACATTTTTAGTTTAAAAGTAAATTGTTTCTAATAATGTAAAATGTAATCATATTAATGATAATGTGAAATTATATAGATTACAATATATTACGTGGAATACATTTCTAATTTAATGTTCAAAAAAGGT